CAGTTTTAGCTTCTTCCTCCCCCGTAAATCTAAATGCCTCTCTCTCTCTCTCACTTTTTGAGCTTTTTGTGTATTTATAAATTGATTTCAGTTTGATATTATTGTTAGATGAGCACTCTCCAAGATATGTCACGAAGTGGGCATATGTCCATTGACTGTGGGCATTGTCGTTCAGCGGCCTAGACATTATTTAGTTATATATATGTGTGCGGATATATATATGTGTATGTGTGCACAACAAATGCGAAAGAATAATGAGTATGTTAAATATGAGAGAGCAATATGTTAAAGACATGTTTCGATTAATGTACCCATATTGAATATTTTATTACAGCAATTTCGTTTCGATTACCTCAAAGGAAGCGTTGATCTCTATGTATCCTCGGTCCAAACTAGTCTTAATTTTGAAAACTTCACAATACCAAGATCGAAGCTAGAAGCTAGAAGCAGGTCCTTCACTTTGCCTTGCGTGGCTTTAACCCAGAGTTTTACCTATTTTTACTTTATATACTCCATTTCTCCTTTCTTAAATTTGTATTATTTTTTACTAAATTATAACGTTTAACCATTATTGGGCAAAATTGGGTTTTTTTTTTATGGTTTACCTAATCCAAGGAGCATTTTACATATTAATACTTACAAATATATTATAGACTTTACTTTATTTTTATACTTAGATACCGGCAGGATAATGAAACCAAATTTTTCGACACCCTTAGAGATAGAGACTTAAAACTTGGAACATATACTAGTCTGTGCCCGCGTCAAACGTGTAAAAATTGGAGTGTGGATATAGCATTAGGAGGCTAGGAAATCGATAATCGCAATTCGATAGAGTTACATATTTCCCACAATTTTAAAGCTAGTCACAAAATTTGGTTGGTTGTTGGCGATGTCCTTCAAACATCGGCATATGCCACCACGCCGCCCTTCGGCTATAAAAATTTCAAATGGTTATATCTTCCACAGCTTTGAGTCAGAGCCGTTAAATTTGGTAGGTGTATTACCGCCTATAAAAATCGATACAAAATTTGTATAGCCATGCCCACACTTGCCCCCATAATAGCCAAAGAGACATATTTTAAGACCACACCCACACCCGCCGACCCCAAGAACTTCGACCCTAGTAATCAAATACGCATATCTTCTAGAACTCGTAAGCTAGTCACAACATTTTGAATATATGTTCGGTAGCTTCCCTAAGAGATGGATACAAACCGATACACCGATACATTGGTGTAAATTGATAAAGCCATATATCTCACACTATTTCAAAGGTAGAGTGACCAAATTTAAAAGGTATATTGCTATTGCTATTCCTTAAAAAATACAGAAAAAATTTTCAGCCAAGGCCAAATGCGCCCCCAAAACGATAAAAGCCTATATGTCCCGCAATTTAAGATATAGTTATAGTTACGAAACTTAAATGTAGATTACTAAGATCGTCGTCCTACATTTTTTTTTGGCAACGCAAACTCCGGTCCCCAAAATTCTCCAAAGTCGGTATCTCCTGCAATTTAAGAGCTACAGCTACCAAACTTGGAAGGAAGATTATTAGGATCCTTGTCTATAATTTTGTTCAGCCACGCCTACTCCCGTTACTAGGAAACTCTTCCAACACTTTTTTTTCGACCACGCCCACTGCCGCCCCCAAAAGCCCCAAAAGCCTACATCTACCGCAATTTGAAAGGCAAACTTGGACGGTAGATTATTAAAAATCTTCTTCAATGATTGTGATATCTTTGCTACACCCACCATGTTCTTTGCTACCTGTTATCAGCTGATATAACTTAAGGTATCAAATTGTTTCGCAGTCGGTATCACCGGTTCTCTCTTGTTTACGTATTGATTTAATAATTCATTTTTAATTTAATATACATTAATTTGTAATTTTAAAATTTTTTTGAATAAATAAAAGAAAAGCTTGCTAAGACGAAAGTGGTTTTTGTATTGAAATGTTTAGATTACTTTCGAGAGTTTATAGACATTTCGATTCTGCTTTATCAATTTCTATGGATAATTTATTGTTTTGTTGAATATTGTAATTATTAGCTGTACTTGTTCATAAATCGAGTTAACTAGCAAATATTTTCATCGCACACACACATTTTCTAATCATATTCACGCCACGTGGCGTATTAGGCATTTTCCTGTTAACTGTTGATGTTGGCATACAAACATGTGTGGATCATGCCACAAATCTGTCGGTTAATCTTTTGTTTTCGCAACTCTGCCCAAAACATTTCCGCTTTAAACTATCGCTCTAAAAGAGCCACTGCCGCATTTATTATCGTTTTCGTATTCGCATTCGCATTGTCGCTAATATATACATATATGTGTGTATGTATATATATCATAATTTTTATCACCATGTTCTCCTTCTTCTGTTGCTACTTCATTGTCTTCATTATTCGCTAATCGCGCATATTGCATATTCTTTATCTGTACCATTTTTGATCCATTTTGCCGTTTCACCGCAAAAAGTTTAAGGCAAAACTTGAACGCAAACTTGGCTAATATAATTTCGCTGAATGCGAAGTATACAAAAACGAAAGAAACAAACAAAAACCTTCTCTCTTCTGCTTATCTGCAGAAAAGGCAATATAAATGCCATAAAAAGTGATACAATCAGTTGGCCCATAGGTTGGAGATCGACAAAACAAAAAGAAAAAAATACGAACATAATAAACACGACATTTTAGCAAAAACAATCGTAGCCCAAACGAATATTTCTTTTTTGTTTGTTTATTTTTTATTTTACTATTTTTTTTTATAAGCAACACCACAAAAAGTAATACTTATGAAAAAGAATCGTGAAAAATGAAAACAATAAATAAATAAAAAAAAACGAAAAACCGTCAGAATTTGTTGGCCGCTGGGCAGAACACTGATAAACAGTCGAAATTAAATTGAATGCAAGTGAAATTATATAAAACTGGAACTGGAAGCAACCACAACGAATCGGGAAAGTGCAAATACACATGTACCATATGAATGTGTGTGTATGTAAGCAGACTGAAAAAAGTCCTACATAATTACTGTTGACTATGACTTGACTTGTCTGTTTATTATTATCAGTTATGGAATGCAATGTCCGATTATTAACGGTTCTTGTAACATTCATAATAATATGCATACATATGGACACATTTATGTGTGTGTGTATGTGTAATTTATGCAAATACTAGTAGTATTGCACAATTATCAATTTACTCGCAGCTGTTTAATGTAATTAACAAATACTAAATACTAAAAGTACGACACAGCTGTTTCAAAAACTAAATCGCCTACTGACTAATCAGTGTTCAAAATTATACTTTCAGCCAAAATAATATTTGAGTTTTTATTAAAATCTGAAACTTGCAAACACTGTTAATTTTAATCACGGGACGATAATAAATGGTTATTTAAAATGATTAAAATATCCTAATTACTGAACGATCACTATACCATATCCATAGATTTTTCATTTATATTTGCACCTGTGTTTTTACTATATTGGAAGGCAATCGGAACGAAATGATAAGACTATCAGACGAGGTAAGTGTGAGAAAAAAAAGATTGTGATATGTGTGTGTGTGTGCTTGTAGTTTTGTATGTATGTGTGTGCTCAATTCGTTGTTCACATTTCGTGTTTGGCTTACGAGACCAACTCATCGATAGCTGATTAAATTGTTTGTGTGCTTATCAGTGCAGCTATAAAAGCCGCACGAGCTGCCGATAAACGCAGATGACTGTTTGTATTTCTATAAAAACAAAACTGTTTAAAAAGTGAACGGGTATCATGAATTTATGCAAATGTATGTTACAGAAATACAGAATGCCTTACATTGTGTACACATCTTGGTGCGCAAGAATATATTTTAGCGGTTACAGGGTATTTCAAAGATCGCTGGCAATGATGTGTAACTTTATGCAAAGCGCGATTTGCAGCTTGCAACTTGCATCGAAACGAAGCAAAGCGAATCGAACGACCTTCACAACCAGTGAGAAGAAGTCCACTTGAGTTGCTTCTTCGATTGTTTTTCGAGATGTGCACAGTGCAGACTGTGCTGAGTAGTTGTAAAGAACAAGAAGAAGAATAAGAAGAGATGACATGGACAGGCGTCGTCTCAAGTGGTAATCTAGCACCTTTCGCCCTCTCTCTCTCTGTCCCACTTAACTTACAGCTGTCAAAATAGTTGTAGAGAGAGGCGAGGTGAAGCAGCAATAAGGAAGCTGCGCAAGGGAAGCATTTATGGAAATTCAAGTTGAAGGGGGTGGTAGAGGGAGAGGACAGATAAAAACTAATGAGCGAACTGAACGGAAAACGGAAAAGACAAAGCGAAATGCAAAACAAATTATAATGAAGGAAAAAAAAATTAAAAATAAAACAACATCCAAGCAAAAATGCAAATCTAGCAGAAAAGGTAGCCAGACTAAGGGCAGCGCAGAGGCAGCAACAATGCAGCAATGCGAGCGAGCAAGAGCATTGGACAAAATGCAAGACGGAGGCGAATTTAATGTAAAATGAAGCCGAGGTCAGTTGACGGCGGCAAACGGGAACAGCTGCTCTGTGATGTTGATATAAGGGCAGGCAAAAGATAGTAACAAATATGTACAACAACAACAAGCTGCGCAAGAGAGTATGCCCAACGCGGTAGAAGCTCCATCACACACACACACACACGCTCACTGAGCTGCCAGACTGTGCACTTAAAAATAAAAACAAGTTTTTTCGACTCGCTGCTGCTGCGCTTGCGCAGAAGATATCAGTTTCCAACCACAAAAAAAGGAGAAAAAAAGAAGAAATACATACACAACTACTGACTGCTCACTGCTGACTGACTTTCTTTAAGCATTTTTGTGCTCACAGCTTGGACATGTTGCAGACACAGCCGCAATCGACGCCGCAGTTTTCGCTTTTTTTTTGTTTTTGGCAACTTTTCGAGGCAGTCGTCGTCAAAGAAGAGGAAAACACGTTTTGTGCTCCGGTTTCTGTTTCTCACTCACTCACTCACCTGGCAAACGGCGTCTGTTCCACCTCGTAGATATCATTGATGTCATGCGACACAAGTAATCCCTTCAAGCGCTCAGCATCAACGTCCAGCAGTCCATCGCCTATGGGAAAGATGCCCTCCTCGGTAAACATGTTTCAAAGCTGCTGCAGCTGCCTCTCTCCCTCTCTCTCTCTCTCGCTGTCTGTGTTTTTATATTGGTTTTTTTTTTTTTAGATTTTTGTCTTCTGTTGCGTTGTGGGCTTTTCTTTTGTTTGGTTTAAAATTTGTTTAATGCTTTGAGGAGCAAGGTATTTCGGATGTGTTAAGACGACGGCGAGAAATTAAAACTGTGGCACATACAAAGAACAACAATGAGATAAAAAAAAAAACAAAAAAAATATGTTTGGCAAACATAACAAAGAAGAAGAGAACTAAATGTAAACAACAAAAACGACAACAGCAAAAACAACAGCCGCACGCGCAAAGCTTTGCAAAGCTTTGGTCACACTGACTGCAGTAGTAGTAGCAGCAGTCGAGAAATTCCAGAGCCCTTTTGAACTGCGCTGCCAACGTCGGCATATGCAACAGCCTGTGAGTTGGAACGTGACAGCAATAGGGATGCTGCTAAACAATGCAGTGACAACAAAAACAACAATCAGCCACGGAAATTTCTTTGCTGTTTTTGTCTCTTTAGCTGTTTGTACTTTTTAATTATTTTTTTTTTGTTTGCTGTTGTTGTTGGTTTGTTGCTTGACATGTTGAGAGCATTTAAATTTTAAATGAACGCGCGGCACACGCACAAAAATTTCACACAATAACACACACAACTCGTTTCACTTTAATTTGTCAATGCTGCCGCTGTATCTGTGTCTGTATCTCTGTGTATGTATATGCCCAACGCTCCTTGTATTGGTGTATGCCGTCGCGCACTGTTGTGTTCTGCTCAACTTCGGCTTTGTTTGCATGTGTGTGTGTAACCAACTTTGCACTTAAAAACACACAAAAAAAAAGAGAAACAAAAAACGAAGTAAATAAATTTACTGCTTACGCAGACTGCTTTTTTTTGTTTAAATATTTTAATTTATTTCAACTCTCGAAGCGGGCAGAAAAAAAGTTTTTGCAGCGCGCATTCGATTTGTAAAATGATTTGAATTTGTACTTGTTTGTGCGACACATACACACGAACACACACACATACAAACAAACACACTTGTGGTAAGTAGTAGTCACCTCGTAAATCGCGGATAACAAAAATCACAAACCCAGCACACATTCACTAGGCGACAACGAATTACAACACGTCCGCCTCGTTCGGCTTTGTTTTTGCTTCTAAATTATCGATGATAAATTGGTTGGAATGGCGCGTATTATCGATAATAAATATTTAGCAGCTGTTAAGACGCTGCTTTGCCACACAGCAATACATCGATTTCGAACTGTTAAGCTGTTGGCGATTGTACTTTGTGAAGTGTTTGACCACAAACAACAAAAAGGAAAGGAAAACAATAATTTTAGCAATGTTTAATACAACGTATATAAAAAACATTCATCCTATATATTATTTAAAAGTTGATCAAACCAAATTCGCACAAACTTCAGCAACTGTTAAGCTTAAAATTGCGCTATTCAGATTAGCTAGCACCAACAGCTGACATTGCAATAACGATAGATTCAAAAAGTATGAACGCATGCGTGCCAACCTGCTGTAATTTTGTCTGCTCGAATTTTGAAATATCAACACTGCGTTTTGACCGCCCACGGCCGCGGTTACGACTAAAAAATTTGAAACAAAAAATTATAGCAAATTCAAATTGGAAAATGAAGCAATCACGGCGCTACGCACTTGACGGAGTCTTGACACGCAATGGGCGTTTGGCAACCGGGCCCTTTAGTGCTGTGGCGCCGCCTATAAAATCTTAATTTAGACATTTGCATTTGCATTATGTTTATATTTATACATATTCAATTTATGTATGCTGTATGCGTGTGTGTGTGTGTGTGTGCTTGCTCCACTTGTGCTGCATTTTCATGAGCAGCACCTATCGCCAACCTCCCCTCCCCCTTGGTCTATTGGTGTGTCACCAAGGCCTGGCTGCCCAGCAGCCGAGTGTGTATTTTAATCATTGGACGCTCATTGCCGGGCTCAACGCGGAGAACGGGAACAAAAACCGGCGACGCCGGTATTTCAGGAATGCGCCGCACAAAAATAGCCAAAAAACCAAGTGCAAAAACCTTTGCAGCCAAAGAAACAGCCTCAGAAACAGAAACAGCATTAACATTAGCATTCAGAATTCAGCATTCGGCATCAGCAGCCGGGGCACATTAGTCTCATTTGCTTCATTATTTATGCATTTTTATTAATAGGCGCGCAATTTGCTTTGCAGCTCTGCCCAGAGCCAACCGATGAAAATATAATTATACATATGTACATACATACATACTATGTACAAGCTGAGCATTTTAACAGCATTATTTTTTTTTAGCTGATATCAAGGAAAATATGCTCGAGTATTTTTCATTCAAGCTAAACTGAATCTATTTGTTGTTAATTATTATTTTAATAACTTTCGAAGATGTTTTCTTAAATATTTGCTTAGTGTAGTATTTAATATAGTATATTAAAGTACATATTTATATATAATATGCTAAAAATGTAATTTTTATAATCGGAACAATACAATACAATAAAAGCTAAGACGCCAAATATCTGAATTCAATATTTCAAATAAATGATAAATGAAATTTATTTTATATGTTTATAACTTTTAAAGAAAAATATTTATTAGTTAGTTCACAGTTCACGCCTCTGCGTCCTCGTCAACTTAATATTAATAAACATATTTTTCAAAACCAAACTGGTTAATTATCATTTCAAATTCGTTGATTTTTATATCATATCGTAACCGAAGCATACTTTTGATGAAACACTCGATGAAGATGGATCCAGCTTCCAATTGCGTTCAAATAAACATGAGCAATTCTTGAGAGCTCAATACTGCGAATTTTAGTTTTCTTAGTCTTATTATCTCAAATAGAGAATGTCAAAGAGAATGTCGAGTCGAGAGATCCCCCCGACTAGAGGTATATGAGTAAAGATATTCCAAATGATATGCAAAAATGATGCTACTTGCCATACAAGAAACTACATGCGACATTGAATGTCACTAGTAATGATGCTGCCAAGTTTGCTAATAAGTATCGGTATCGGTATAAGGTGCTCCCTTCGCTCAATATGCTGAACTCAAAACGCCAAAATGATCTTTGCCCGGCTATAAATAGCTGATGTACTGCATCATTGACAAAATGTCGCATTGCAATTGCGATTGAAATTGGAATTGAAATTGGTATGGGTATGGGAATGGGATTGGAAATTGCCTGGCAGTCTTTCAAGTTTAGCAGATCAGGCATTTGACCTAAGCGACAGAGAATTGAAAATAGACACATTTTATTTGACAGCAGCATTAGCAAATGCAATCCCGGAGTTTCAATTGGTGCAATATTGGCATTTTGGGCCCGTTCGTGACGATATCTCATCATCGCTGTCCCGCTTGCCGGAGTCTCTCGTATCGCCGTCGTCACGGCCACTGGCCCGATACTCATCGATGATGGCCAGCAGCTCTTCCTGGGCGGCGATAAACTCGTGCTCCTCCATGCCTTCGCCAGTGTACCAATGGAGATGGGCTTTGCGGCGCAACATGATGCTGGACAAATCCAGCAATCGCTTGAACAACGTCTGTATCGCTGTCGTATTGCCAATGAATGTGGCGGACATCTTCAGGCCGCGTGGCGGAATATCACAGATGGCCGTTTTTATGTTATTCGGTATCCAGTCGACAAAGTTGTTCAGATTCTTGTTGCGCACGCCCGTCATCAGTTGGTCGACTTCGCGTGGTGACATCCGTCCACGGAAGATACCGGCAGCCGTTAGCAGTTTGCCCTTGCGCAAATCGATGGCGCACAGCAGATTGTTGCTGGAGAAGATCTGTTGCACCAGCTCAGCGACGGTACCCTTGCTAAATTGTTGCTCCTTGCACGAGCCCAGCGGCGCAAAGCCCGGTATGAGGAAATGTAGGTGGGGAAAGGGCACCATATTCACATAGATCTTGCGCAGACCGGCATTCAATTGGCCGGGGAAACGCAGACAGGTTGTTAGGCCGGACATGGTGAGGGCGACAATGTGATTGATGTGCTCATACCCAGACATTGGAATCTTCAGATTGCGATTGCAGATCTGAAAAAGTGCCTCATTGTCCAGGCAAAAGGTCAAATGCGAGTTGTTCACCAGCGCCGGTATGCTGAGCAGTGCATTGTATGGTTCCACAATGACTTGTGATAGATTCGGCGATGGTATGGTCACATAGTTGCATAGTAAATTATCCGGATACTGCTCGACCAGTGCCTCCATGATCAGTGACGTCAGACCCGAACCGGTGCCACCACCAATCGAGTGGAGCAACTGAAATCCCTGCAGTGAATCCAATGATTCCACTTCGCGTCGCGTACTCTCTAGCACTTGATCGAGAATTTCGGCGCCATCCGTATGGTAGCCACGGGCATAGTTATTGCCCGAACTCTCCGAACCGGCCACAAAGTTTTCCGGACGATACAGGTGACTGCTCGAACTCAAACGCTGTATGGTGCTAGCCTCCGTGTCGATGATGATGGTGCGTGCATAGAAACGCTTGCTGACGGTCGCATTAAAGAACACACTGATCCGGTCCAGTTGCAGCGGACTGGTGCCGTCGAATCGACCCGATCCATAATCCACGCCATGCTCATGCGATATCAGATGCCAGAACTGCAAATAACCAAAGAAACCAAATCAGAGATCGCAAATGATGCAGACAAAGCATTTCAAATTTATAATTATATTTAAATTGTGTAGGGTCAGTATTATTGCAAACCGCAGCTGTTCTCTGATACATATGTATATACTGCCTAAATGTATACTATAAGCCTGATTGTTTTTCGGTTATTTCCAAAAATCAGATGTCACATCTGTCTTTATCTTTCGCACTCTCTCCCTCTCTCTCTGTGTGTGGTCAGATACTTACCGCATCGCCAATGGCATTGCCAGCTCCGCCAATCTGCAGTGTCAATATCTCCCGCATTTCTTATGTCTTCCGTGGCTATAGCTTATTTGCTTATGTTTATTTTCAATAATACCAGAATTTAAAATCCTTGTGGCGGCCGAAAGTGGGGTATGGGATTTGATTACTCAAAATGCCTAAATATTCTGCATGCTGTACTCGCTTCAAATATATAGGCATAAAATAAGACCCAAAGAAATAATTCTCTGTCGCCACCTTCGATTGTGTCGAAACAAGTATCTACGGCACATGATCCGGACAAAACGAGCATCATATCGGAGTTACATATTTAAAGATTGGCGAATTAATTTAATGAGAGAGATTTAATAAGACATAAAAAAGTAGATGGAAAGCGCAAGAAAAAAATGCTTAAGCAACCAGCAATTGCTGGTGTTGCTGCTGCTGCCTATTGTTGCTCCAGCTATTTGTTCTTCTTTTCGGCAGCCAGCAAGTTGTACAAACGATTGACTTCGTTAGCCACCAGATGATCCAGAATGATGCCGTTGCCATCGATGAAGGCGGCACATGACTTTGTGCTGGTCTGCTCGCGCTGTCCTCGCCCATTCCTGACACAGAGGGTGAGCATGTATTTGTCATCGTACTTCTTCATGTCCGAACTGGCCTCCCAGGTGCGATTCGTCTTACCGCCACCGGCCTCCTTCTGCACGGCAACGGCAAAGGTGCCTTTCTCACGGAACGTTGTGTGTAGCGTGAGCACGCCCATCAGGGCGAAATAGGCCAGCGCACTGAACAGCAGCACCGGCCGCGACTGCGGAAATGGATGGGTGAAGTCCCAGGCGTGCGCCATTATGGCGACACCGACAGCCAAGGCACAGAGCAGCAGGCGGGTGTTTACCAATCCAAATTGCTCCTTCAACTGGGGACGATCGCCCAGTAGACAGGTCTTCACTGCATCATCCAGTGCATGCTTCACCGCTGATCCATCCCATTTGTTTACCTTGACCAGCTGTGGATTGTAATCATTCATTTTAAATATAAGATACGCTGTCGAGTGACGTGTACAAAAAAAAGCAAGAGGAAACCTGGCGAAGTCCTTTGGATTAGTTACCTCTTCCGCGGGCTGTGCTTTATCCTCCTTTTTAGACATTGTTGCTACTCTTTACAATCGATTTGGCTAGCGCTGAGATTGAAAAGAACACTTTAATCCCTTTTTTTGACAACGCGACAAATACTTCCTACTACTCTGTTTGATGTACAGTGTGACCACAAAGTCAAAAGAAGTTATTTTTTGGTGTATTGCGGCCTGGTTGCCACTTAGTAGAATTTATTTGTTCCTAGCAAAATCGATAAATTCAAATAAAACACACATCCATATATATTTTAAATAATATATTTAGGGAGTAAAAACGAATATGTGTCGAGTATACAAAACAAAAAAAAAAAACAAGTCAGAAATAACGTTTGTTTTATTAACATTTTGATGCGGGTTTGGTAGATTTGTACCACGTATGCTACTGTTAAGACTTCCCTTAATAACATTTGTTATCGATAGATAATTAAAAAAAAAAATGGTGATTCGTTTTATAAGTAAATTGTTAATATATAATTACAAATAATGGAGTTATGGAAGTTGTTTTCAGCTGCTATGTTACATCGACTTCATTTGCGCCATCAATTCTTCCAGACTCGCCTCCGACACCCCATCACCAGCAGTAGCCGTCGTTTCTGATTTCTCTGACTTATCCGGCGCCTCATACGCCAGACGCAAACCGAAGGCGACATTTGTATTTTCCGGGGATTTGGTCGTCGTTGTCGGCACATTATCTGCAACCAACTCAATGCCCCAATCGTTGCAGGCATGCAGTGGTTCATCGGATACCTCCACCTCCACCAACTTCTCGACTGGCTTCGGACGCAAATGGAACTCCTTCTGGCGCACCAAACAATTGCGATCATCGCACTGCGTGTTCGGCCTGAGAGTCATCTTGGGAAAGAAATCGCTTAGCGCATTATATCCCAAATAGTCAGAGACCTCGCCAAAGTTCAGCAAATACTTGAGTGCATTCTGGACAAGGAGGCTAGCCGTAATGCCCATCGTTGTGGGCAAAGAGGCTGCGCAGACACCCTCACGCTTCAGCGTCCGCTCGTCAATGTTCTCAGCGACAACCAGAGGCGGGGCGCAGGCAAAGCATGCTGTATCGCCGGGACGTACGAACTGTATGTGGCCGGAAACGGCATTCTCCGAGACGCCGGATTCAAACCAGTTCATATTTTTCTCATTGCAGGCGGCATTGATCGCCATGCGTGCCTCAAAGTTGTCCACGCAACTGAGCACCAGATCGACGGGCTGGCCAACCGCAATGCCACTCGCAGAGATCGTGCTCAGGAATTGATCGAAGTTATCCACTGTGGTTATGTTGTAGTTGTGTGTCTCAATGCACACATCGGGATTGATGAAGCTCAATGTGCGCGCCGCTGCCTCCACTTTGGACAGGCCTGCCTGGTCGGGTGTGAAGAACAATCGGTTCATATTGGCCAGCTCCACCTTGTCGTAGTCGAACAGTATTAGCTTGCCAATGCCACAGCTGCAAACAATAACAAAAACAAAAAAGTCTACAGATGAAAAAGCAAAAAAAAAAAACATTTGCATCTTTTGTCCACTGACCGCGTCAACATGTCGGCGGTGACACTTCCAACGCCACCAACGCCCACAATAGCCACCGCCTTGTCGCGTATGCGCTCATAATCCTTAACGATGTTCATGCGCTGCAGGGCCATCAGGCGGCTGTATGGATTGGAATCGACGACTTCGGCGGACATGCGTTCGATGCGCTCGCGCGCATTGCGCGTCGTCGTTTTCTGCTCCTCGAGCTCCGACTTCAGCTCGGCAATGATTGCCTGCAGTTCGTCAATGGCAGCGGACATGGCAGCAACAGGCAATTCGACTCAACAGCAAAACAAATCTATAAAAACAAAGTAAAACACTCGAACTGTCAACGTTTCAGCTGTCGTCGTGTCACTTTATTAATACAGCTGTGCCGGCGTTGCCAGACGATTTGCACATCGACTTGTCCAACGATGATTATCGATAAGCGAGAATCGTGGAATCAGCTCGAGCTGTGATTTAAAAATTTTTATAAGGTATAATGGTCGGCGATAGATCGATAATTTATGTTAGCACCACCTTCAGAGAAAAAAGAAAAAAGGAAGGAAGAAAAACGGAGGAAGAAAAAAGGAAGAGAAAGGGCGCATGCGCATAGAAAGCTTAAAAGTTAGTAAAATAATAGATATATATAAATAAATATGATATATATATATATAGATATATTTATCCACAAAGAAAGATTAATAAAATAAAATTAAAAAGTATGGAAAGGAGTAAGCAAGCGGCAGCAACCGACAGAATAAACTAACCTGACCAGCCGCCACTACGGAGGAAATCGCCGGGGGACAACTGGGCTAAAACAGAATCGGAGAAGTGCAATCCAGGGAAAAGTGATCCGTGATCAGCCGCAATCAGCTGATCGTCCATAACCCCCAAGGCATCAGTGATGCGCAATGTCAGCAACAGTGATGTTCATTTGGCTCAGCAGTGATGTAACAAACAAAAATCTAAGTTACTTCTGTAAGCATTAGGTCATATAAATAATAGTTAATATAATATATGTATATATAAAAGAATTTAGTGTCGGCCAGCAGAGTATTAGATATTCAAAATTTTCATTTATTAGATAAGAATATTGTTGATGAGAAAATATGACGAAGCGCGGACTAATAATCTAGTGTAATACAAAATGAAAATGAAGGCTAAAGTTAATGTGATTGGGTGGGATGAAAGACACGGGAATTTGTCATATAAATTTTGATGAGAAATTTATAGGAAGTAAAGGACACGCAGGCTGCATAACATTCACACAGCCAACACAGTAGTGAGCAAATCCTTGTTAACTTGCCGCCCAATAATCGCGGACGATCTCCAACTGAGCCGATAACTAGCCGGTAATTGTGAGCGATCTGTTTTAAACAAATTTCATATATATATACAGACGCACTTAAGATAATACCATGATTTCTACAACTATATAACTTCTGTCGAACCCCATTTCTCAATAACGGCTTTCAGCGGCTTAAACAGGCTTTTCAAAATTGAATCCTTCCTTGTATACAAACTACATATAGTAATCGTTGTGGAGTTTTGCATGAAGGCGATACGAATATCCGTTAATTTGGCTAGGGCACTTCCATTCTTTGGCTTCCATGACAACCAGCAGATTGTCTTCTGGATGTTGCGATACTTTTTCTTTCCTTCATGTGATATTCTATTCAGACTCTTGAGCATCACATTTTAATATTTTATTTCTCTGCAACAAAGAATAACAAATATTATTATTATTGTCCGGATATGTGCATTGCAACCTGCTAGATCTATTGTAAACTCTTCTGAGCCTATAGCTCTTCCATCAATCCCAGCTCTTACACAAATTCAAGAATCTTTGTTTAGTTGAGGGTTTCTATGTCTTTGGAACTAATTTGTTACGAGTCGGTTTGTCCTAGTGGGGCAGCTACGGCCAGCCAGTACTCCATTAGTGGGTCTACCCATGCCCGCCGACCGTACAATAACACAACACTAAACAAATCTACACATCACTAATAAACAGCTGATTTATCGGACAGTGGCAACAATTATTTAAAACAAAAAATTCGTTAACTTCGACGTCCAACGGTGGCCCTGCTGTTACAACCGTAGCGCTCCCGCCCTTCCTGTGGGGCAAAACCATATAGTTAGGGCCCCACCCTTTTAATATCAAAGATCACAGATTATTCTAAGAACCTTTTGACCCCCTCCCCTCCATTTACTAAACTTAAGCCTTCATTTTAATTGACTAAGTATATTTAATATTCATAGCTTACGGCAAACATTTTATGCTCTGACTTATTAGTATATATAGTTATTACCCTAAATTTAATTTAAAGGAACGAGACCTGACTAATCTTTATTCGACCTTCTACGCCTTCACAATTGCCGTCTTTTGGCGCAGTCTTGTTTTTGGGCTTAAAGTCTTTTTACATAACCTATATATAAAAATTAGGTTATTATATATATATATATATATATATATATATATATATATATATATATATATATATATATATATATATCCTTTTTTTTCAACCGAAGGTTAGTTTTCAGATTATTGGGGGACACCCTTAAGTAACCTACGGAGCTCCCCGGGATAAATATGAGGGTATCTACTCACAGAAATTTTATGCCAGAGGAAAGAAAAATATTTGTTTAATCAACCAGCATTTGCCACGTAGAAAACCCACATAGAAATGTCTCAGTGACGATTAAAGCTAAAAGCCGGAATGCGTATTTGCACAGCGTAAATAAAAAAAAAATATATATAAAAGAAATAAAATTAAATACATAAGTTTCCTTCCGCCGAGATTTGATTGGAACGGATTCACGATTTTGTTGAATGGTTCCGATCCCTCTCTCCCTTCGTGCTGCTCTTCCTTGTCGCTCTTGGTTCCGGAAGGCAGTCTGCTCCTGGTAGTCTTCTCCCGGTGTGGACTTCACTTTAATCGTTTGGGATTACATTTAAATTTTTGGTGTCTTCGTCGGCGGTTTTTGATTGCGGCTTGTCGTCGGGGCGGATTTTATTAAACTTGGCGGGTGTGCATTTGGGCGTTTTTACTTAAATATTGGTTGGTTTTATACACTTTGTAGGTTCGTATTTGCGGGTTTTAATTTCTTCTCTATCCACCTGACGGTGGATTTTATTAAGTATTGTAGGTTTGTATTGTTGGTTTTTAAATTTTTCTTGATCACTTGAATTTGTTGCCGTCGGTGGATTTTATTAAATATTGCATGTCTGTATTTTCGGTCTTTAAATTTTCTTTATCATTGGAATTTGTTGCCGTCGGGGGATTTTATTAAATATGGTAGGCTTGTATTTTTGGTTTTTAAATTTTTCTCGATCATTTGAATTTGTTGCCGTCGGTGAATTTTATTAAATATTGTAGGTTGGTATTTTCGGTATTTAATTCAAATTTAGTCCCGATATTTCTCTCCCTTTTTTTTCACCTTTTCTTTTCAAAAAAAAAAAGAAATTTTACTCCCGCAATTTACGCTCCTTCTTACTTCTTTCTTATCGCCGCTGACTTTCAACTGTCCTCCAAAAAATCAGATCATTGGCCTTTTTATTCCATCTTTTGCTCGCCGCTCGGATAATATTCTACCATCTCCCTTTCTTGAGCGCGCGAACTCCCTCTCTCTTTCCTACCAAAAAGTTCCTCTCCCTCCACTCTCTTAAAAATCAATCTGTGGGTTATCACCTGTTTGCCTGTTGGCAGCGCCAACTATCGATGTCACGCCGCCCGCCGCAACAAATTAAGGCAACACAATCTACTAGGATGTGCTTTGGGTATTCATCCTCGTTTTCACAAAACCCATATAGTTCATACTATAAATACAAAGTTAAGATAGGCGAATTCTTAGTCTATAATGTACTGTCAATATACCGCTAAGTTTCCCAAGCCTATTCTTCCCCATTGTTATTACCTGCTTTAATCGCTGGTGATTTTAGTCACCCAAAAGACATTTGGCTTGACGGTTACCCGATGTCTCTGCACAACACAGTTGTCGCCTCTGGCTTTCTTCGTTTTTAAGTGTGTCTTCCCGTTAGGGGCATCTCTGCTCCCATTCTCGCTTGCTCATCATCCACTTTGTTCCCCGCTACATCCTTGTAGCCCGGGACCCATCTTAGGATAAGCCTATCATGTATCCCGATTTGGATCGTACCTCACGAACTACACTTGACGTTATCTTCGTCCCCCTAATAGCATTTATTGCTGCCTGACTATTGGATAGGATGGCTATATGCATGTTCCGATAGTTACGTTTCAACTTCAAACCCCTACTGCACCTCAGCTTGAAATTTCTTGGTGTGCGTCCTCAGTGATTCGTGGTAGGATATCAGAGGGCCCACCTTTCCAAGGCATGTGCCCTTGTAGGTGAGTGATCCATCGGTGTACTACGGTGAGCTTCATCTAATGTCGTCCATTCGCTTTTTCTACTCATGAACTGTGATTTTCGAATAAATATCCATATGTCATTTTATCCCTAGGCTGCAACAGTAGGGAAGATAATCTGAAAGAAGTTGGGCATCTCTCTGTCCTAGGATATGATTGCCCCAACCCCTTCTGCCGGCATCCTTTGAAGTGTAGCTTTTTGTTGGAGCGAAATGACGTGAGCTCCATTAAGGCTTCCAAGACCATTGTTGGGTAGGTGCGCATTGTTTTTGTCATACATTCGCAGGCCATTCTCTGCAACTTTTGCTGCTGTCTTTGTACAACAATCAGCCGAGCCCGAATACCGCATGGAGCTTACTACCATTCGGTATAGCCATCTTATTATCTTTGGTGATGTACCCCATGACTTTGCTACGACACATATAAAGTGCTCTGGAGCACTTTGATATCGTATTTGTACACGGGAGGCAAATACCCCTGCTGGGAAGGCTCCTAAGTAGTTAATCTACTAACAGGCCTAGATTAGTGCAGATCGCACACCGTCTATCAGCCTTTAGTAGTTATGACTGTTACATTGCTGTTATGTAGTGATGCTGTGGATTGTCTGAATAGCAGCAGTGAGAGTATCCACCTACTGGTAGTTGGTTCCAGACCCCTCGAGAGGGTACCTTGATCGCAATACGAGATGTGTTGTCAAAGACGCCTTCTATATCTAAGAAGGCGCACATTGCTACTTCCTTATTATCAACTGCAACACTTAAAGTACGCCGCAGCTGGAAAAGTACTAGGTCCGCAGACCTGCGTGCTCTTTTAACTTTGCTTTTCCATCATTTTCAGGAAAAAAGGATGTTAAACTGACGGGTCTGAACGAGTTTTAGTTGGTGATATCTTTCTTCCCTGCTTTGGGGATAAAGACTATGGTTCAAGTATGAATATATGACGCTCTAAGAAGAGATGGCCTTCCAGTGGCCTGCAGAGCTATGGGAACGCATTCTCTAGTGAGGAATTCTAAAAAAATTGTAATGTTAATACTCTTTCTCACCATGATACAAGCTCTGTGTGCTGGATCTATCCGATCCCTTCCTCTGTTGGGGCGGGTTATGCTTTTGCTTGTGCTCGATTGCTTAACCTTTTTGAGAGCCTCATCAAGAGCAAGTTCTTACTGAAGATACCTAGGTACCATTTGACCCTCAAACCGCAGACATTTCTCCTGTCCGGTGGTCGACATTTCCCCACGGTGGCAAGAACTTCTTCCTCTTCTTTGGTCACCGTACTTCTTGCCTAACAGCGTTCGGTACCGGGCGTGATGGTCGTGGTGGTCCAACCACACTTGTATGCCTCAAAGATGGGGCCCGACTTTGCCCATGCTGTGCCTGTGGCGCTCTCCTGATTGGTGCTGGAGTGGTACGCTGTGGAGGATTGTCTACCACTCGCGAGGACCTCTTCCAATCCAGGGCGCGAACGTTCATCTGTCTCGCGACATTCTCTGCAGGGAGATCCTGCGATATTTTTAAATTTTTCGAACTTTTCAAAAAAGTTGTTCTTTTTTTAATTAATTTGTAAATCTCTTGAATGAGCGCTAGTGCAGAGCAGATGTTGAATCGGCGACTGCTTTGCAATGCCTATTTTAATTAATTTAATTTTTTTGTTGGTAAATTTTGTAAGATGAGTTAAACAACTTCTGCTTTGAAAATTTGGAATCACCATATTGGAAGCTGATCCAATTTAGCAAGGAAATCGAATTTTGTCGGTGGTATAAGCCACGGAAATTGCATAGTATCTGTAACCTCACTTTTCCCCCATTCAGTGGCTCGAATTTTTACAGTAGTGTGCATTGATCACCTATCAGTCATCAATTAATGATCAATCAGTCAGTCACCACAACAATTTCTATAAATATGTAAATATATGTAGTTGAGTATTAGGCTTGTATAATTTCAAATATCAGCGAGTTTTTTTTGTAAAACAATTGATAATTGATTTTAAGTTTTTTACCAAAGGTAAAAGGTGTAATTTGTTTACCCTATGGATATATATGTGCATATGTATGAAACAAGCATAAGAAATCCTATCCGATCCCATAAAGTATGTTTATATATTTTTTTTTCAGTATCAACAGTCGAGTCAATCTAGCAATATCCGTTTAATCATCCATCCATCCGTCGGATCTCAGAGACAACAAGAAATGTGAACTACAATTTGGAATGAAAGTTCTCGTATATCTCACGCAGTTTAAGTCTATTTTATTTCAATTTTAAAGATATTAGCATTGATATTTTTTTATCTACTGTAAACATTTCATCAAGATCTGATAAGAAACACCCATTTGAAGGCAAAATTGTCAATTAAACTTTAACCTGTGCAAAAAGAATTGAAACACAGAAGCGCAATTTAAAATATTACACCAAATATATTGTCAAAACATTATACATATAATAATTAAATACACAAAAAAAAGAGGAAATAATTAATATTTGTTGTTGGTGATGTTGTTTGAGTGTCTGTGTGTGGTTTGTTGTTAAGTGTTAAATGCAGCGCTTAAAAATTGCTACGATAAATACATCATTATCAAATTAGAGTAGTGTGTTGATGTGAGCTTCCTGTTTGGTTTGGTTTGTTGTATTATTATGTATATGTAGTATTACTTTATAGACCGGGACTATCACTTGCGAAGAAAGAAGGTGTGTGCATAAGTTTATGATGCTGCCGTTGTCGCCTGTCCCGCCTGTCGCGGCTGGAGGCGCACGCGGAAGCCCTCCTCCCGCTTCAGTATGATGTCCGCCTGCAGCCTGAAATCCGATTCACTGAGGTCCGAGTAGACACGATAGTTGCGCATTATGGTCGACAACAGGATCTTTAGTTTCAACATTGCATACTTGCGACCTATGGTGAAATCAAATCGGTCAATACAAGAAAACCCCAATATCATAATTATAATCTAATATTATATACAAAATCACATTTTAATAATTATTTGTTAAAATAAAATAAAATTCATTTAATTAAAAAATAATGTTTGTCTTGGTTAACTTTTGATGGATATAAATATACATATATATATATAAATATGTATATATGTATACATACAGTGTCTCACAGTTTATTTCGGGCAGTGTCTAGCAAAAATTTTAAAGTGCTATAAAGTTTAAACAAAGAAATAAACGCAAAATGTTCAAATAACAATTTGTTTCATGTCATATCACGTTTGAAAAATAAACTTTAGTTTTTATTAAAATATTAATTAATTAATTAAAATTTGTCAAAAACTGAAAACATGTCCAAAATACATGTCAAAGCTTGTTTGGTCCAGGCTTAGAAAAGTAACATATTTGGCGTATAAAAACTTAAATAAGGATGTTAATACTTAGTATGATATCCTTTAGCCTTAATAACTTTCCTTAACCTATTATTCATGGAAGATACCAGCTTCCGGGTCGTTTCTGGACTGATTTTGCTTCACCCATTCAGCAGAGCATTTTTGAGATCCTGTTTGCTGGATATGTTGTGATTCCGGATGTTATTTTCCAGCAGAGCCCACAAATTTTCAATAACATTTAAATCTGGAGACTGGGCCGGTGGAATTATCATGTGGATGCAGTTCCAGATAATCCAGGACTGTACTATTCCGGACTTATGCTTCGGGTCGTTGTCCTGGTAGAACCGGAAAGTACATCGGATTCCTAGCTTCTCGGCACTTTGGAGTAAATTTTCCTTTAATATATTGAAATACACATTCTTGTCCATTGTTGTTTCAATGAACACCAAATTTCCGACGCCGGCTTCCGAGATAGATGCTCATACCATGACACTTCCTCCGCCGTGCTTCACTGTAGCCTTTAGGTGTTTGGCATTCAGCTCAGTATTGGGCTGTCGCCACACATAATTCCGTCCGAGCCGCCATCCCTTTATTTTTTGCGCTTATAAAGGGCTTCTTCCGTGATACTCAGGCATTAAAGTCATGGTTGCGCAGAACCCGGCGCACAGTTTCCACACTGGACTTTTTCCCCATTTCGTCCTCCACCTCTGGAGTCAGTTTTGGAGCTGATAGCTTGGGATTTTCCCTTATTTTCCTGATGATCCTCCGCTCTTCCTGTTCGGTGAAAATCTTGTTTGGTGCCATTCTGCCCTTGTCCTCTATCCGATTTTCGTCGACGAAGCGCCGAATGATGTTGTATACAGTTGATTTGCTTAGATTTACCATTTCAGCTATTTGTCCATGTGAATATCCGATCTTGAAGTGTTCCAGGATGAGATTCCGTTGTTCAATGGTAGTGCCTTTGTCCATAGTCCTTGTTAGCTGGTTGCACCCGATATGTAGGATATAACTAAACTGACTACGAAGGATTGGTCTATTGATACCGAAAATAATCAACCCGACGCAAAAAATCCGGGTTTTATGGCACCCAGGTGTCCATAATGCCACTGCTCGAAATAATATGTGACCATAAATTAAGGTACTTTTTTACATAACCCGGCCTAGCCGGCGGGGAAACCCCAGTAATGGGGGTCATATATTCATTATGATGGTTAATATATGTACCTGCCATCGGTCTTTGGAATTTTTGAAAATTATTGAATAATTAGTTTATGGCAGGCAATTAAAATTTTTGCTAGACACTGCCCGAAATAAACTGTGAGACACTGTATATGTAATATACATATATATTTATATATATATATATATATATTATTTTTTTAATTCTCATTTAAAACTCAAAAATTGTATTTGGCGTGGCAACCATTTTAAATGGAAAATTTATTATCGGACTTTACTTTTTATTTTTGAGCGAAAAAACATCACAATTTTATCTTTCTCATTTAAGTTAATTATTATGGACGAAGGTTTTTTTTTACTAAAGCTCAAAATAATAAACTGAGAAATATGTACAAAATCAAAACATTTTGATAGAAGTCAACTGGCATAATTTTTTTTAATTGTACGACTATTCTAAATGCATTTTTGTTAATAAATTGTTAAATAAACCGTTTTTAATAAAAACAGCAACAGCCAATAATCGCATTTAATACTTACCCACACAGCTGCGGGGTCCTGCGGAGAAGGGTACAAATGCATAGTAATGTCGATTCGCCTGGCGTTCGGGCAAAAAGTTGTCCGGATCGAAGACATTGGGATTGGCGTAGACCTTAGGGTTGCGATGCAGCAATATGGTGGCCACAGTCACAGTGGCGCCGCGCGGTATAACATAGGGTCCCGAGTTCAATTTCAGATCCTCCTGTAGCTCGCGTGCTATAAGCGGCACTGGGGGGAACATGCGCAGCGTTTCCATTAGGCACCGTTCCAGATATTTCATTTCCAGCGTATCCTGAAATGAGGCCGGCCGCTGCGAGTCACCAAATATGCCATCCAGTTCGGCAATTACGCGATCTTGTATATCCTGGTGTATTCCCATAAGTGACAAAAAGAATGACGAACCGGCTGCCGTCGTGTCATGTCCTTCGAACATAATCGTGTCCACCTGCTCCTTGATTTCGGTGTCCGTGATAAGTGCACCGCTTTGTGCACTCTCCAGCATCAAGTCGAGGAAGGCCAAACGTTTCTTCTCGCCTATGTCGTTGTCCTCCACATCCAGATCGTCCTTGAGGCCAGCTGATTGGCCATAGGAGAGGCCGGCGAAAGGGATAGCCGGCTCAGGCTTGACAACTGGCGCCTGTTGCTGCTGCTCACGCTGATCCTGCTCTAACGCTGCCGCCTTCAGCTCGTTCTGTGCGAGAGAGCCGCGGGTGCCCTGTTCGAAGGCAGCCTTCTTGCTGCGTATGACCTTGGTGGTGAGGCCGTGAATGATGTTGAGTAATCGTCCCTGCTCCTTGTAGTAGCGGGTCAGTGTGAAGATAAACTCGTTGCGCAGAAAGATGCTCCGATGGCGTGCATGTAGTATATCGCACATCCGCATCACGGCCATTGCATACTCGAAGCCGGACTTATCCTGTGTCTTCTTCGACACTCCCATTGCGGTCTCTGCAAGATGTGCACAAAAATGACGGGAAACCAGCGACAAATAGAGCCGCAGCTCCGATTAGCCCATTATCCAGCAGTTTGGAAACGGGAACGGGATGGATAGGAATGTAGATTGGAAGTGGAATGCACTCGACTGACCCAAGCGCCAATTGAACTTAACAAACACACAACGGACGCTGCTCCGCTTGTCTAACTGTAGATACAATGCGTAAATAGCATTCGCTTTACATTCAACATATATGCAAATAGTATGCCATATTTAGTATATATACTCGTACACATATGGTGTAAGCATAAGCCTATTTGTATGACAGATTAACTGGCTTTAACTTTCAATTGCGTCTATCAGTTTTCCACCAATACTTGCGGTGCTTTAAAAATAACTTTTTACCAAAATATCGATGCAAATTTCTGGTCTTCGATAAGGGTGAAGTCAACATATTTGAAAAATAAAAGGTTAGGCATATTACAAAAGCCCATCTTCGACAATACTGCAGTACAAAAATTGAGTTTCTCTGAATTTTGAATTCTGAATATACACGTTTTCTAATTAATTCTAGCTTAATATAGGGATTATTGATATAGATACACACAACATGCTGAACGATAAATATACATATATATATATATATATATATATATATATATAAATATATATCAGACATATAATGTATGCATTATTATTGCAAAATATATTGTATTTTGTTATTTATATCTGTCAAGCTGAAGTGAAAGCTTATTTAAGACTTAGGTCTTTATATCTGCGATTACTTTCCTTGAAAAGCGATTCAAAGCGATTTGTGCAGTCAGCACATGAACTTTTGACTGAAATGGCATTTCTTCCGCTACAACTTAAACAGGTGTCTCTGATTCGTATCTGTATATCTGAAAAGGCATTGCATAAGCGAGGAAATGCAAGTTTTTCACTTGCATTTCACGACTTTGGCCCACTGGCCAGCTGGCAGGCAGGAAAAACTTGTTGTGGCCACAAACACTCACTATATGGATATAGATTATGCAATCATAAAAAATGGCATTTGATTTATTGTTTCAGTTTTTGCTATATGTGCCATATATATATATCTATATATATTATCTATATTATCTATCATATTACAAACTCAAAAAAAATATTTGTACACTTTAGCAGTTTGTTGTTGATGTTGTTGTTATTTTATCATTTGAATTTTCACTCTTAATTGCTAATTGCTCGTTTGCGTCAGTGCATCTGAGACCTGGGAATAGGCCTGTGCCCCGGGCCTGGGTCTGGGCACTTGACGTGGAACTCAGACAACTGCAGTTGCATTCAAATTTTCCTAATTAAATGTTTAATGGCAATGCGACGTGGTTTTAATTGCACTTGGCTAGCAGTTTGACTCGCTTGGCGCTGACAATTTTTTACAGTCTGATGCGCGCTTTTGGCAGCATTTCAATTATAGGCGAAGGTAAGCGCCTGCGTTATGCAATGGCCTGGAAATCAATCGGTCCGACAGACAGACAAATATATACATATGTACTGCATACATACATAAATGTGATAATGTCATTAACATTTTCTGTATGCCATTGATTACTGATCACTGACCACGACCCCAGACGACTAGGCGTCCAGTTAAACGGGCGGTTTCACTCATTTTTTTTAATAAGCCTGAAACGTGTTTGGCTTTAAATATATGACAGACATTTGGGTGGCACAGTTAGTTATGCCTACGGCCACACATAGCTAATGGTCAGACAAATGTGATAATGACGTACAATAAATGGGGTTAGAGCGTTTGTTCAGAAAAGGCTTGAAGTCAAGTGAAATTCGGGCTACTTTAGAGTACAAAGACTAAGGCTATTACTAATTTATCTGACGCTTTTTTAACTTTCTAAATCAGCATTTCAAAATATAAAATTTATATTTAAACAGATTATATCAAAAGTAATCTTTCGAGTTACTATTACCATATACCTCAATTGGTTAGTTTACTTAAAAAACTAAGTTTCAAGGTCTAGTTAATTTCGGTTCGATTTCAATTGCTAAATCAATTCAATACAAAAATCATAATGCCAAATGACCTAATGATCTTTCAAATATCACTCAAGTCACGTTCAGTTGTTGCCAAAGGAAGTAAGATCTTCTTGTGAAAGCAACGAAAATGTACTGTGAATTTGTTTGTAGCGGCTCATTATTCCGAACTATGCGGATTAGTAAGGTATTTGAAATAATTCGGGTCCCGGGTCGGGTCTCTGTTTTGTGCCCCATTGTCTACACACAAAAGAGGCAAACGGACAACAAACTAAAATTTTGATTTGTGCGAGTATATAGGGAAATGGGATTGTGCTCAATTGCGGCATATTGTAGTAGTGATCGCATCTACAACATATATATGTACATATATAAGCACATATACACATGAGTGAGTGTGTAAGTATTCGCTGGTATTATGTATTATTATGTGTATGATATATGACTATTTAGCATATAATGACACGCAAGCAAACTCACACAGTAACGCACACACAAATCAAATTAATCGGAATTAGAATCTGAAATTGAAACAAAATCGTTGCCTGTCGTGCTCTGAGTGCGGGTCAGTGGAGAGTACCGTTTCACTGACTATGTATGAGTTTGTTTGTGTGTGTATGTGTGAATATCACTTACCCAATAGAATCTCCACAGTTGCCTCACTCATGTAATCATGACAATCAAATGTGCGTCCATCCTCCGCACGCAGTTTCCGCACCACATTGCGAGAGTTCTCGTTAAACAACTCAATAAAACTCTTTAAGACATTCAAATGGAATGTGGGTGCGATCAATTTCCGATGAGCCCGCCACTTTTGACCTGATCGATATAAGAATAGATCACATTTAGATAGAAATATGTATATTATTAGTCGGGATTTGAGCCAAATCAGTATTTGGACACCTCGCACATATATAGTGATAAAGATAAACATAATAGACGAAAGCAGATCGAGTTATTCGGATAGAACAGCTAATTAGTTTGTAATAGTAATAATTAAATTAAGTTCGTAATACATTATTGGCCGAATTAAAAAATTAACGAGGAATCAAAACAAACATAGGGCATCCGATATTTGATAAGTATCTACATAAATAGGAAATAAGTTTAAGAGCTCAAAATAAATATAAAGTCAGTTCGCTTTAAAAGATCGCTTATACTTAGATGATAGCTAAGATGTTTACGAAAAAAATGGCGATTGGGCCAACAAAATGACAAACAAAAGAAGAGATTTCGAAAAAGAGACAGAAAAGACCACTTAGACTACAGTATTAAGAGAGAGAGAGAGAGAGAGAGAGACAGAGAGAGCAATGCTGATGGAAAGAGACAACAATATGCGTCCCCTCGTTTCGCAATTCTCCACTCTCATCTCTGCACTGTTCTGTGCTGTTCTTTTCTGTTCTATTCGGTTTATTTATAGCCGCCATTTGTTAGGTGTTGTTGTGCCAACTGTCAGGCTCACAAATCGCTTAATTAATTTATGATTCCATAAACGCAATTTAAATTGCATTAGCTAGTCGAGAGACAGACAGAGATAGATATATATATATAGAGAGAGAGAGTCACAGAAAGCCAATAATTCCCTTCTGACTCGCTCCTCTCCCACACACGAACACACACACACACACACTCACCTGTGCTTATAAGAAGACCATCACCGAGCCAGGGCTTGAAGAACTTGTACTCGGATGCCTTGTCAATGTAGACATGGCTGCTGAGGAGCAGCTCAACATCGCGTGGATCATAGATGAACACCACCAGCTTGGGCCCGATCCACATTTTTGCAATGTGTTCAAATGGTGTGCTCTTGCGTATGACTGTTTTGAAAACAGCTATAAAAAAAAACCAACAAAAAAAAACAGATCTCAGTTTTGTAGCCAGATAGAATTGGAGTTTAAGGGGGTTGCCACCTACACGAAGCGGGTCCAATCACATCGAATAGATGGCCCACAATGGGCAGACCTCGCGGACCCGGCAGACGCGCCGCCAGCTTGTTGAGATGGGCGCGAGACAATCTCCAATAGATGTACCAGAGAACCAATGTGGGCAGCAGCAGCAGATAGAAGACGCTGCTGGGCGAGCCCATTGCGGCGTCTTTTTTAAGCACCTCCATTGAGGTGGAGCACACACTCAATACTAGTAACTACTAGTTCCGAACAACAATAAAAAAATAAATAAAAACGTATTTATTACACACACACACCCACACACTGAGACAAACACGAGCACACACGGCGACGGATGCGACGGGAAATGGGACAACGATTCGACTCGTTGCTTAAAGCATGTATGTATTTATATATGTATATGTCTGTGTATTGACTATTTTTTAGTTCTTTCGCTTTTTTTATTTTTTATTTTTTGTATGTGAATACGGATGCTGTGGTTGCTCGTCGCTGCTTGTCCGCCGCGATACTGAGACAAGTGCCTGCTAAGAGTCGAGCGCTGCTAAAAACGCAGTCACAAAAATAATAATAATAATAGTAATAATAATAGTAGTAATAACACAACACAGCACAACACAAAATAAAAAAAATAAAAAATCACAGTAGCGCCAAAGGCACAAGCACACGAGCAAAAAGAAGCGAAACGAAAAAGAAAAAAATAGTATGTTTGAACGAAATGTGGAATGGGAAATGGTCGCCCAAACGTCGCACGCTCCGCGCTGTGACTAGTGACGAGTGACTAGCCGCCGCCGTCAGTGCGCCAGACTTTTATAGCCAACAATGTGGCAAGCGGCAATGAACTGACGCTGACCGACTGGCAACCGGACGACAGACTCTTAGACGTACAGACGCTCAGACCGATGCACAGTGTCCACAAAACGAGCGCTCAAGCGAGCGCCTTGTAGTGAACCCCAGCTTTCCCGCTGGCCCATAGATGAAGTCTCAATTTAAAATGTCGCGCTCACTTTCGGACAGCCAGTGCGCAAGAGCTTTGAGCTTGCAAGCTTTCCTCCGCTGATTATAAATTAAATGCAATGTTGCATTCAAAGATTGCCGCACTGCTTTGTCAATTGAAAGCGTTTAGTTTCAGAGCGCTTGCAGCTTTATTTCTTATAACCTCAGTTCCATAATATTAAGATTACTTAGTCTTTTTGGTTTTCTTTATTTTAAAGGACATTTATGCTTGATTATTTTTAGTGGTTGTTACAGCTAATTTCTTAATAGTCTTGGAAAAAAAAAAAAATCACTTTTCGCCATAATGAGTATAGCATTCTAATTGCAGCTAATGTGCGAGGGTCGATTATTAAATAGTCATATTTCCAAATTTTGTGTATCGCTTATCCACTTCATTTCAATTCTATAAAATATTTACTTACATGCACAGAGAAAAATAAGTACAAAAGTACAAGTACAATGAAGTATCAAAACTGATACAGTCATGAATATTCTCTCAGATAAAGTCCATTCATTCTTGATTCAAGTTCGACTTCGACTTTGTATGCTCATTTTCAAGAACACATTCGGGATTACTGAGTGCAGTTATCAATTTCAGGCTAGAATTCATATTTTAAGTTTCATTATTCTAAAATGAATAGTTCTAAATCAAGTTTGTGATTTTTTCTCCTCAAACACAAGCTCCATTTTTGAGGTCTAAAAGTCCGGTTTTTAGAGCTACCAGCGAAAAGTCATCTCCATCTAATAATTGTTCGTAAATTTCCGATCAAGATCGCTTTTTACCAAATATGACGCACTGTCAGTTTGGAATTGTGGTTTGCGTCACTCAAAATCGGACTATTCTTAGCATTGTGTGAAAAATGCCTACGAATTGATCGACCCTCGTATGTGTATGTGACCTCAGTACATATGAGCAATTTTATAACCCAGACATTTAAAATTAATTATATTTAGAAATTAGCTTATGGAAGTCGTTGGCTGGACAACACTAAACAACAGGGCTTTCAATTCCCATTGATATACACACTTACATACAGAACATACAATTATGGGAGGAGAACAACATTCATAACTACTATACAGTATGCACATATGTAGATACATATCTACATATGTATAACTAACTAAGTATAAGTTTTAACTATATGATATTTGTTTCTTGCGTCTAGGTCTAAATGTATTATGTGAGTTTTTTGGATGCGTGGGAAGCACTTTTTTTAGACGGATGATTCGTAAATGACAATTTGTAGAACCTTGGGCTTGCTATTTTGTGCCTCCTTCACCTCCTTGAGTATGGCATTCGTAATGGCTTCTAGTGCGGCAATATCTGAATTGTGCTCGTTCTTCTTGTTACTGCTCCACTTGGGCATTGACACCTGCGCATGCGACATTTATAATTCAACTCGTTAGTTCGTTTGTTTTCAGTTGGCTTCCTTTAACTTACGGTTAACACTTTCTGCAATGTCGTATAGTCTAGGCCGGTACCCGCCGTCTCGCCCAGGCGCCGTAATGTCTCCGCCATTGGACCGGAGAGCTCCTGTAATACAAAATACAATTGTTTTTTTTTTTTAAGCGCGAATGGATGTCATTGGGTTAGCACATACCTGCAGTTTGGCCCAGCTGGTCGCGTACTGGCGACGTACCAGCTCAATAATGGTCGACGTTAGCGCCAGGCCAATGAGTATATACAGAGTACAGAGCAGCATATAGTTGGGTTTCTCTGTGGGTAGAGTAGAACAGAGCAAAGCAGACAATTAATGGGTTGCAGTCGTGCTGATCCCCTCTCGCACGCACTGGGCACCAGATCACCAAAGCCAATCGTTGTCATGGTTATAAAACAGAAGTAGAAGCCATCAAAGAATGTCCAGTCATCCTCCCAGAGCAGCAGCAGCCCGGCACCAGCTGCCAGATAAACGCCCAAAAATCCAACGGCCAGAATCGCATAGAACCAGGTTTTGCCAATGAAGTTTGTAAACTTCGGCTTGCCTGCAAGCAATAAGCATAGCACATGAAACCGTTAACAACATGTAAACAAGGCTTCCTACTTACTGGGCATGTGTGTGCCAAAGACGGACACTGCGCTGGCAAAGAGTCGGCCCCAGTCGGCGATGACCGTCAGTGTGAAGGGTATGCCAACGAGTGCAAAACAAATGCAAAAGACGCGACCACTGATTGTTACTGGCACTATATTGCCATATCCTATAAAAAGTGAGATTCCACTTAATATGCATAAGCACTTATATCAAACATGGAAGAAAACATGTAAATTGATAAAGAAGTTACAAAAAAATGTTCAAACTTGAATGGACAATTTTAACTTATGAATAGTAGTCTCGCCTTACGATCGACAATCTCAAATCACGAACATTTTCTTAAAACGCAGTATGAAAACAAGAAAGAACGTTAAAGTCGGGCGTAACCGACTGCGAAATACTTTGATACCATAAGTAATACCAGCTAATAACAGGTAGCAAAGAACAGGGTGTGTGCCGCCAAGAAATACCGTCCAAGTTTGATTTTCAAGTTGCGGTAGATATAAGCTTTTGTGAATTTTGAGGGCGGGAGTAAGTATGGCTAAAACAAATTTGTGGAAGAATCTCCAAGTAACGTTCCTAACAAGTTTGATAACTGTAGCTCTTAAATTGCGGGAGATATGGGCTTTTAGGAATTTTGGAGGCGGGAGTGGGCGAGACCAAAATTTTTTCCGGAATTTTCAAGGGTATTGCTGGCAATATACCTTTCAAATTTGGCGAGTTTAGCTTTCAAATTGTGTGAGATATGGATTTCTCAATTTACATTAAGTGGTGTATCGGTTTGGGCATTCAAATTTGTATCGATCCTGGGGAGATACCAGTAACATATTTTTAAAATTTGGTGACTCTAACTTATAAATTCAGGAAGATATGTGCACTTCAGATCACTAGGGCCGAAGTTCCTGGGGACGGCGGTCTTTGAAGAAGGCTACCAGCAAGTTACCTTCTAAGTTTGGTCACTCTATGTTTATATTTGTGAGAGATATGAGTGCGCGTGGCCGTTAAAATCTGCTATCGGTTCTTAAAGTAATATATACCTACGAAATGTGATAGATCTAACTCAAAAACTGCAGAAGATGTAACCATTTAAAGTTTTGGGGGGCGAGGGGCCTGGTAGTGGCGAAGGTGGTCGCGGGCAAATGCCGATCTCTCAAGGACAGCGCCTGCAACCTACCAACCAAATTTGGTGATTGTAGCCTTAAAATTGTAGGAGATTTGTGGCTTTATTGATTTACACTGATCGATATTATCGATTTACTAGCACCCTAGAAGACATAGCACTCTAATTTTTTCACTTTGACGCGGGCACAGACCAGGACATGTTCCAAGTTACAAGTCTCTATATCTAAGGGTGTCGAAAAAAGATTCGTTCATACATACATACCTTCGGTATCAAAGTATAACGAGAAGTAAACAAATTTAATTTGTTCTAAAATAAACATACTACATTTACAAATTTATTCGGTCGTTATATTCGGAGCCCATTGAAAAATGTGTAAAAAGCGTATAATGGAATTGTATTGAACAAACAGAAGGAATATCGGACAAAATAATATATATATTCTTGATCAGCATAATCAGCTGAGTCGACTTATGTATGTCTCTCCGCTTTTAAGCAAGAACGCGTTGTACTCAAAAGCTTTAAGAGCGGCTTATACCTTGCAATATTAATACTCATATAAAATAAATAATTTAATTGATAACTTCATCCCTTATTATTATTACTGAGGGGGGGGGGGGGGGGTAACTATTAGATCTATTGTGCCCCCTTCTGAGATTATAGCTCTTCCATCAGCCCCAACTCCCGCACGAATACGAGGATCTTTGATGGGTTGAGGTCTTCTATGTCTTTGCACTTCAAAACATGCGCCCCTAGAAGGCTGCTTCTTCTTCTAGCTAAGGCGACACACTCTGCCAGGATGTGTATCGAGGATTCATCCTCTCTTTCACAAACCCTGCCCAGGTCGCCAGGTGACTTCTTAGTCTACAATGTCCTGTCAATAGACCGGTGAGTATCCTAAGGCTGTTCTTTCCCATGGTTATAATTTGTTTAAATCGTACAAGATTATAACCACCTAGGCGACATCTGGCTTGTCAGAGTCCCACTGCCTCCGACCAGCTCTGATGCCGTCTTTGCCTCTCCTCGTTTCTAAGTTCCAGTCGTATAGTGTGTCTCCCTATGCCACAATACGGTTCTGGTCCTGTTAGGGCCTTCCTGCCCCCATTCTTGCTTGCTTGTCAGCCGCCTCGTTTCCCGCTATGTCCCTGTGGCCCGGGACCCATCGTAGGGTGAGCCTGTTATGAGTCCCGAATAGGTCTAGCTTTGAACGAACTTCATGGACTACCTTCGATGTTATCTTAGTCCCCATTATAGCTTTCAATGCTGCAACTTCATCCCTTACCGCAAGGTCAATCGATTAAGAAAAAGAATAAAAGCAACATAATATATATAAAATATAAAATATATATATCGAGATCGGTAAAGAAAGAGGGTGGTTTATTCATATTTACCAAGGCATGTACACATGTGTGCACATACATATATTAACATACAATAAGTTGGTTAAAGTAATTTAGAGGAACGACTTATGAGTGGTTAGGACTCGGGTTCAGGGTATCTCCTTGTCGATCTCGCGCGACTAGAGTATTCTTTTTTGTTGACAAATGGAGCACTTACCTATAGTGGTTAACACAGTTGATGAGAAGAACACAGCTTGCAGTATGCTCCAGCGCTCGTAGGGCTCTGGAAAGTCTTTATCTGCTACGATGAGTAGCCCGCCCTCGGCCGCCAGTTGTACGGCCTATGTAAATATAAAATGACAAAGGGCTTAAATTATTTGAAATTAACGAAAATGGAAACTGATTGTGATGAAGAGCTCTGGTTCGACTAAAGCGGCTAGAGAAAGCTGGTAACTAAAATGCGTTACTGACTGCGAAATACTTTGATACCATAAGTAATACCAGCTGATAACACGTAGCATGGAACATGGTGGGAGTAGCCAAGAAGCACCGTTCAAGATTGCCTTTCAAATTGCGGTAGATATGGGCTTTTGGAAATTTAAGGGGGGCGGGGGGGGGGCGGTAGTGGGCTTTTGGGAATATTGGAGGCACTCTCGCCTGCGGCGTGTCCAACATTTTTTCCGGATTTTTGAAGAATGTTACTGGCAATATATCTTTCAAATTTGATGAGTCTAGCTTTCAAATTGTGTGAGATATACGGATTTATCAATTTACACGAAGTGGTGTATCCGTTTGGGGAGGCGGTGTGGGCTTGGCCATCTAATTTTTTATCCTCCAAGGGGAGATACCAGTAAAATATTTAAAAAATGTTCGTAACTCTAGCTTACAAATTGTGGAAGATATGTGCATTTCAGCTTACTAGGGCCGAAATTCCTGGGGGCGGCGGGTGTGTGCGTGGTCTAGAAATGTAAATGCCGGTCTTTGAAGGAGGCTACCAGCAAAGTACCTCCCAAGTTTGGTCACTCTATCTTTATAATTGTTAGATATATGCGAGTGCATGGACATACAAATTTGTTATCGGTTGTTAAAAGCGGCTACCAGTATAAATACCAAGTTTTGACAGCTCTAGCTCAAAAACTGCGGAAGATATAGCCATTTGAAATTTGTAGGGGCGGGGCTCCTGGCGGCGACAGAGGTGGGCGTGGGCATATGCCGATCCTTGAAGGCTTTATCGATTTAAAATAATCGATTTTATCGATTTTCTAGCTTCCTAGGGGGCATAGCACTCCAATTTGTACACTTTGTCTGACGCGGGCATAAGTTCCGGTATAAGTTTCAAGAGTGTCGAAGACAGTTGCGTTCATACAGGTAGACAGACGGACAGACAGTATGACGGACATTGCACAAAACCAATATACTATTATAACTTCGGTATCAAATTGAATCTCTTCTTGGAAAAATCAATGTCCAACCTACCGCTTCATATTTGGCCAACTCAAAAGAGAGCAGGTCATTGAGATTGTTCACCTCGGTATTGTTCAGTATGCTGCTCATAAAGCGTTGTCGTTGTGTCTTCACCACATCTTTTAGCTGCGTAAGACGCTCCACCTCTGCTGGACGCTCCAAGTGTCGAAAGATCTGTGTGTCAAAAATATGAAAAAGATAAAATAACAAGGCAAGGTTGCATTAGCATTTACTTAAATAGCCCACAGAACGCAACAGCTGCTGCTGGCTAGCTGAATAGGATGATTTCCGTTTTTAATGCCTGGGCGGGGTATGGGAAGTCACATTAGTGGCATCACTATAACTATGGTCAACAATGTCTGTCTTTTTGTGTGTAATCTATTGACATTGATTGATGAGCAGGCCACAAATTCATATTATTCTAATCATTGAGAGTGTCTGTCTGGTTGCTCTCGTCTTCTTTACCTTCTCGTCCTGTAACCTTTAAAATGCATATGATGGGCATTTGTATGTACCAGATGATACGATTATACGCAACCATGCAACTTGTATATGTAAACTTGATCTGTATCTATTATCTAACAGTATCTGAAAGCGAACGAAAACTGTTTTGCTTATAATCATTTTTTTATTATATCATTTGGTCTTTGTAAAACACTGTAGGGTATGTGAATAGTTGTATATTTTTTGTTTGCGTTGACAGTGGCCATTAAGTCAAGTAAGTGACATGCGCAGTAGGTTTATTAAAATTTAAGTAGAAGGAATGCAATGTTTAGTACGAGCCCAGTAGAGTCCAAATGCATTCCAATAAGATGCCATTAAGCTCTATATAAATACCTTATGCTCTGAATTGATATTGGATGACTTTGACTTACCACCTTCACCTTTACTATGACTTTTCCAAATATTCAAAATAACTTAAAAAATGCCGTTAAATTGAACAATAAGCAATTAGTAATTTTCGCCAATTGTTTTGCTTTTTAAAATTTGATTTTTGATGTTTAAGTTTCGAGGGTCTTCACAAAAAACAAATTAAGAAAAGAAAACAAACCACAAGCGTTTAAGATTTTCACACATCATCGTAATAAATTTGCTTAACATGTAGTACGCGCTTTTGCTTAGTTCTTGTTATAAAAATAGTTGCACAAATTGATTTGTGTTTTACTTTAAAGCTTAAAGAACAACAATCATGTATAAATATTAATGTATGCATATACATTCAAATATATACATATATATGTATATATATATATATATATATATATATATATATATATATACCTCAATACGATTTGTCTAGCATACATCTACTGCTTGTGAATGCGCATTCGAAATTCAATTGAAATGTGTCAGCCAGCCATTTCTCTTACTCGCGCCCAACGACTTACATTAAGTGTTTTACCCCCCTCACAGAGACAAGTTGCCCCTGTCGTACAAGGCAATCGAACAGCAGATGTGAGTGCATTTTTCGTAGATAGGGACACTGGACAAACATTTTATTTCTCTTTGAAAAAACGAAAATATTTAGAAAAAATGTGCTGAATAAATTTGTATTTCTTTTATTTTGTGAACTGTGTAACTTCCGACAATTGCTTTTAATGCAATTACAAAAAATTTATAAAACAAAGTAAAATTGTATATATGTATTTGCCTGTGTGGTAATAATTTTATACAGAATGAATCTGTAGACATATTTATTTATTTATTTCTATAAAATAATACAAAAGACTTTTTCCAGTTTAAATAAAAAATAATAATAAGCATAAGGGGATAACCGATTCATGTTTATCTCCAGTTACACTTCTTTATATATACATAGTCATTGAACTAGAAAATACATACACTCTTACATATGAACATTTGTATGTGCACACATACATAAATTTGCTTACTTACTGCTCAATAATTCGTTGAAAAGCCCTCGTTTTTCCCCACACCAAAATACAGCTGATTTTTAACACTGGATTACAAATGTTTGGTTCGGCACATTTTCTGAATTTATTATATTTGTTTAAAGTCTACATATCGAAAATCTCTTAAAGTTTAATATATTTAATAGTTATTTTAGCTATTTAATATCGAAATACAGCATGATTATCGAAATATGGTTATGTTCATATAACTCAAATGGATTTCGAGTAAAAAATAAACTTGCTATGCTATCTTTATCTGAATATAATAATTATAATAATAATAATAATAATAATAATAATAATAATAATAATAATAATAATAATAATAATTATAATAATAATAATAATAATAATAATAATAATAATTATTATAATAATAATAATAATAATACTAATAATAATAATAATAATAATAATAATAATAATAATAATAATAATAATAATAATAATAATAATAATAATAATAATAATATTAATATTAATAATAATAATAATAACAATGACAATAAGAAAATTAATTAAAGTAATAGTAATTGTGCTACTAAATATTAACGGGAAAAGGAGATTGTGCCACCATCATTTTTATTTGAATAATTTGCATACTTTGATACTTTGGCCGTCTGTATGAACGCAACTGTCTTCGACACTCTTAAAGATAGAGACTTGAAACTTGAAACTAATGCCGGAACTTATGCCTGTATCGGACAAAGTGTAAAAATTGGAGTGCTATGTCCTCTAGAGAGCTAAGAAATCGATAAAATCGATTATTGTAAATCGATAAAACCACATATCTCTCAAAAATTTTAATGCTAGAGTCACCAAATTTGGTTGGTTGCTGGGAACTTTGGCCCTAGTAAGCTGAAATACACATATCTTCCACAATTTGTAAGCTAGAGTTACGAACATTTTTTAAATATGTTACTGGTATCTCCCCTTGGAGGATAAAAAATTAGATGGCCAAGCCCACACCGCCTCCCCAAACCGATACACCACTTCGTGTAAATTGATAAATCCGTATATCTCACACAATTTGAAAGCTAGACTCATCAAATTTGAAAGATATATTGCCAGTAACATTCTTCAAAAATCCGGAAAAAATGTTGGACACGCCGCAGGCGAGAGTGCCTCCAATACTTCCAAAAGCTTATATGTCCCGCAAATTTAAGAGCGAACTTTTAAGGAAGATTACTAGGAACCTTCTCATACATTTTTTCAGCCATGCCCACTACCGACCCCAAAATTTCGAAAAGCCCATATCTACCGCAATTTGAAAGGCAAATTTGAACGGTGCTTCTTGGCTAAACCCACCCTGTTCTATGCTATCTGTTATCAGCTGGTATTACTTATGGTATCAAAGTATTTCGCAGTCGGTTACGCCCTGCAACATTCTCTCTTGTTACTATTTATATTCTATAACAACTAACCGCTATGCCAGTTACTTGCTCAGTGACAATATTTAATAAGAGCATAAAGTTATGTTGCCATACATAGCAATTAGCTTTCGTCCTTGCACTTGTTTATGATCTCTGTATATATTTTGCGGAATTAGCTTTCATTTGGTTCACTCAACCAAATGACGGCGACAACTTGTCCGAGTTGAAAAGTTCTTCGCACAGATCTATAAGTTTGGTAGCAAGGACGACAGCACGCAGCAGACAGGCGTTAAATCACATTTAGAGCTTGTGCCCGACAATAGGGCCGTTCAATTGCCCCGCATACTGTGGTGTATACGCAATGCTTATAACAATTTCTAGTCGACTCTAGTGCTGTCTGTTATTGTCCGTCCGTGTCATATTATTGTGTTTGCACATAAATTATAATTTTTTTCAGACAGACTTTGAGTTAGATACGATATGCGATGCGGAAAGTTTTGTCTATATTCCAACAGAGATGGTCCATATATATATTATTAAATCATATGTCTGATTACGGGTAGGTGTACTCATCATAATATCCCAGACAGACATGAAGGAATTTTGATTTTGCAGAGCCAGCTATAATTCCATGGAATGCTTCCGCAACTGCCCTTAAGCACACCATATCTTTGGAGATTACTTTAAAGCTACCCATTTGTGCTTAGCCTGCGAATTTTTGTGGCTCTGATTCTGACACTTAGCTCCACGCAAGTTGGCAGCTGAATGTTCTTTATGACACGCTTAAAGTACTTGTCAAAACAAATGCCAGTGCATTTGCACGCCATAAATCACGTGTCGCACGCAGCGCCACGTGCAACAATTGTTCCCCCACAACGCGGACATAAGTTGCTATTTAGCTTACCGTAACACAGCTTACTGGGCAGTAGCTGGGGGCCTAGCGGCAGACTGCTTAACTGGATGTGTGGTAAACTAAAAAACACGCTTCATATTCCGCTGATATTAATTTTCATTAGAATGCAAACACCAGTAGGATTTGTTCACTTCGTAGTTTTTAATCAAAAGCGATAGCAACAGAAACATCAACACCAACATCAGCAACAATTATATCCACCGCAATTTATCTTCATTCACAACAAACAAACCAAAAATCCTGGTTATTTTGGTACTATTTTAATAATGATGAGGGCGCCCATTTAGCGGGTGATATTTCATTTCCGTTCTTGTCTCCGGTTTAGGGCTAAAAGCGGCCAAAAGAAGCCAACCACGCAAATTGTTAGAGTTTGTGAGTGTATGTAATATACATATCTGCATATATAAGAGTATGCTTAAAGGCAGTTCAAACCATTTAATGCAACACTAAAATTGTGAACATGAACAAAGAGATGCCAAATGTTATACTTGATCAAATTATAAGATTAGATGTTGCTAGAAAACAGCAATAACATCCCAATCTTACAAATACTTTAATATTGATAAAAAAAAACTATTTTTACAAATTATCAAATATTTATTCAAATGCTTTTAAGAAAATTTTATAGACATATTGTAAATTTATATTTTATATGATTGTATTTATAAAACATATTTTCCAAGTTTTTTTATTAATCATATAATCCAAACAAATAATTTACTTATTAGTTTAACCTAATTTTTTTTTGGAAATTGTTGCAATTCTTGGAAACCGTTACGTGCAATACAGAAAATGTTCAAGTAAAACCTTACATTAAGTCGCATTGAGAATAAATAAATTGCTCTAGAAATTGTATACAATTTTCTTACTACTTAGTTAGTTTTTTCTCTTCTATTATAAGTAGTGTGCCCTTCTTCATGGCAGCCAGCATATATAAATTGATATTATTTTATTACAAATTAATTCTGGGTGTTG